TTATTTAACTTATATGCAGAGTACATCATGAGAAACGCTGGGCTGGAGGAAGCACAAGCTGGAGTCAAGATTGCCGGGAGAAATATCAATAACCTCAGATATGCAGATGACACCACCCTTATGGCAGAAAGAAAGAACTAAAGAGCCTCTTGATGAAATTGAAAGAGGTGAGTAAAAAAGTTGGCTTAAAACTCAACATTCAGAAAACTAAGATCATGGAATCTGGTCCCATCACTTCATGGCAAATAGATGGGGAAACAGTGGAAACAGTGACAGACTATTTTTCTGGGCTCCAAAATCACTGCAGATGGTGATTGCAGCCATGAAATTAAAAGATGCTTACTCCTTGGAAGGAAAGTTATGACCAACCTAGACAGCATATTAAAAAGCAGAGACATTACTTTGCCAACAAAGGTCTGTCTAGTCAAGGCTATGGTTTTTCCCATAGTCATGTATGGATGTGAGAGTTGGACTATAAAGAAAGCTGAGCACCGAAGAATTGATGCTTTTGAACTGTGGTGCTGGAGAAGACTCTTGAGAGTCCCTTGGACTGCAAGGAGATCCAGTCAGTCCATCCTGAAGGAAATCAGTCCTGAGTGTTCATTGGAAGGACTGATGCTGAATCTGAAACTCCAATACATTGGTCACCTGATGCAAAGAACTGATTCATTGGGAAAAAACCTCCAATGCTGGGAAAGATTGAAGGTGGGAGGAGAAGGGGATGACAGAGGATGGATGAGATGGTTAGATGGTATCACTAACCCAGTGGACATGAGTTTGGGTAAACTCTGGGAGTTGGTGATGGACAGCGTGGCCTGGCATGCTCCCTGGAGTCCATGGGGTCGCAAAGAGTCAGACACGACTGAGTGACTGAACTGAACCGATTCCCCTTTCTGATGGTATTGTTATTTCTTGTAATTTTTTAAAAGTCAATTTGATTGAAGGTCTAGTGTACCTCCAATGCAGTAGTGTACAGCTCTATGAATTTTGATAAACATATACAATCTTATAAAATGTACTTATTTTTAATTGAACAATAATTGCTTTACAGTACTGTGTTGGTTTCTACCAAACTATATACAATCTTGTAGTCACAATAAAGATGTAGAACAGTTCCATTACTCCAAAAGTCTCCCTAGTGCATTTTTATACATAATCATCTCCTTCAATCATCCCCAGCCCCGGCAACCACTGACCTGCTTTCTGTTGCTTTTCCAAAATGTCATCCATATGAAATCACACAGGATGCAGCCTTTGAGCCTGTTGCTCTCACTAGGCACAATGCATTTGAGATACCTCCATATTGTTGTGTATGTCAATGTTCGGTTTGTTTTTATTTCTGAGCTATATTTCATGATACAGATATACCATAGTTAGTTTATATCCATCACCAGTTGGAAGACACTGAGTCATTTGTAGCTGTGGCACTTGTGAATAAATCTGCTATTATCGCATACTAGCTTTTGTGTGGACATCAGTTTTTATTTCTCTTGAGTAAACATCTGTTGTTCAGTTGATAAATCATTTCCAACTTTTTGCTACTCCATGGACTGCAGCATACCAGGCTTCCCTGTCCTTCATTATCTCCTGGAGTTTGCTCAAACTCATGTCCATTGAGTAAGTGATGCCATCCAATCATATCATCCTCTGTTGCCCCCTTCTCCTCCTGCCCTCAATCTTTCCCAACATCAGGTTGTTTTTCAATGAGTTGGCTCTTCACATCAACTGGTCAAAGTACTGGAGCTTCAGCTTCAGCATCAGTCCTTCCAATGAATATTCAGGGTTGATTTCCTTTAGGATTGACTGGTTGGATCTCCCTTTTGTCCAAGGGACTCTCAAGAGTCTTTTCCAGCACCACAGTTCAAAAGGCTCAGTTCTTTGGTGCTCAGCCTTCATCAAGAAGGTCCAACTCTCACATCCATACATGATTACTGGAAAAACTATAGTTTTGACTATACAGACCTTTGTTGGCAAAGTAATGTCTCTGCCTTTTAAAACTCTGTCTAGGTTTGTCATAGCTTTTCTTCCAAGGAGCAAGTGTCTTTTAATTTCATGGCTACAGTCGCCAACTGCAGTGATTTTGGAGCCCAAGAAAATGAAATCCGACACTGTTTCTATTTTTTCCCCATATTTGCCATGAAGTGATGGGACTGGATGCCATGATCTTAGTTTTCTGAATGTTGAGTTTTAAGCCAGCTTTTTCACTCTTCTCTTTCACCTTCATCAAGAGGCTTTTTAATTCCTTTTTGCTTTCTGCCATTTGGTTGGTATCATTTGCACATCTGAGGTTGTTGATATTTCTTCCAACAATCTTGATTCCAGCTTATGAAATTTTTATCTTTTGAGTAAGCATCTAGGAGTGGGACTACTGGGCCGTATGGTAAGTGCATGTTTGACCTAATAAGTAGTTGCCAAACTGATTTCCAAAGTCACACCTATACCACTTTGTTCTTCTACCACAGTATATGCAAACTCATTAGCATTTGGTATTATCATTGTTAGGTGTTTTTATTTCAGCCATTCCCATAGGTGTGTATAGATTTTTATCTATTGCAGAGTGACAATGAATATTCTTATACAAATATCCTTTGTAATTAGGTATAACTGTAAGATAGACTCTTAGAATTGAAGGGTCAAAGGATGTGAAAGGTTGATTATGTATTGCGAAAAAGACTTCTGAGAAGGTGGGGCCAGTTTACTTGTCTGCAAGCTAGGTATGGCAATACTTGTTTCCCCACATCCTCACCAACACAGTGTATTACCCAATATCCTCACATTTTTAAATGAAATTTTACTTTCAATAATTGCTCTATGGGTATCTCTCTCATAGGGCTGTTGGTGAGAACTTAAGCTCTTAGAGAAGTATCTGCCACAGAGTGGCAATGCATGTTAACAGTTATTATATGATTACTACTATTAATCACTATCATTTGCCTCTCTCTCTTGACTTCTTCATCAGTATATTCACAAATATGTTTCTCTGAAGAGCTCAAACATTCTAACTATGGAGTTGGTTTATCTTTATAAATCTCTTCAGGTGCTCGCTAGGATTTCAGGCACTGTGGGTGTTACAGAACAGGGAAGTGTGACCCAACAGGACCTTTCTAAGGTTACAGAACAGATCCATGTCCCACGAAGTCAAAATGAAATCAGTATGGAACAGGATTCCTCTAGGTTACAATAACTGTCAAGCTTTTTCTGACTGCCTCCCACTTCAAGAAATAACAGCAGGAACCAGAACACAAAATAGACCTGAAACAAAAGCTTCGAAAACAATACGTCTGTCTTCTATTCATCCCATTCCATTTCATTGAAAATATGTTCATTAGGTTATATTAATAGATTTCAAAATCAATTGTTGGGTTAAGACTAGTGATTAAGGGGCACTCTTCTGGGTCATAAATGTTGATCTTCCTGGCTATATAACTGGAATCATAGAACCTCACACTCAGTTTTGGGTACATTATTTCCATCTTCCTTCCTTCCTTCCTCTCTCTCTCTCTTTCTCATCCTTCCTCTCTCTTCCTTTCTCTCTCTCTCTTTCTCTTCCTTTCTCTCTCTCTCTTCCTCTCTTTTTCTCTTCCTTCCTCTCTCTCTTTCTCATCCTTCCTCTCTCTCTTCCTTTCTCTTTCTCTTCCTTTCTTTCTTTCTCTCTTTCTCTTCCTCTCTTTTTCTCTCTCTTTTTTTTCTCTCTCTCTCCTTCTCTTTTTCTTCCTTTCTCTCTCTTCCTCTTTCTTTCTCTCTCGCTTTCTTTCTCCCTTTCTCTCTCTCTCTTTCTTCCTCTTTCTCTTTCTTTCTCTCTCTCTCCTTTCTCTTTCTTCCTCTCTCTTCCTTCCTCTCTCTCTTTCTCTTTTTCTCTCTCTCTTTCTCTCTCTCTCTTTCTTTCATTTCCTTGGAATGCTAGAGCTTATTCATCATCAATCATCTTCACAACTAGTTCTTGGAATCCTTATGTGCACTGTCCAGTATTAAGCGCCAGTGGGGAGAACAGGCATTGAAGAGCAAGAGGCCTCTCCACCATTTGCTGGTGATCTTAGTTATACCTCTTCAGTCTTTAAACAGTTTCCTGATAGCTCAGTAGGTAAAGAATCTGCCTGCAATGCAGGAGACCCTGGTTTCATTCCTGGGTCGGGAAGATCTGCTGGTGAAGGGACAGGCTACCCACTCCGGTATTCTTGGGCTTCCCTGGTGGCTCAGATGGTAAAGAATCCGCCTGCAATGCAGGAGTGCTGGGTTCGATCCCTGGGTTGGGAAGATCCCCTGGAGAAGGCAGAGGCTACCCACTCCAGTATTCTGGCCTGAAGAATTACATGGACTGTATAGTCAATGGGGTCACAGAGAGTCTGACACGACTGGCCGACTTTCACTTCACTCCTTTGTGAAGTGGGGTAATCATAAGAGAAATCAATGTTAACGCATGTAAAAAGCTTCAAAGAGTGTCAGAAGCATTGTAAGTCCTTAATACAGTGGTTCTCAAGGTATGATCCCCAAGACGGGCAGCATCAGCATCATCCAGGAGCCTGTCAGAAATGTAGTTCTCGGATCTCACTCCGGATTTACCCAATCAGAAACTTCAGGGATGGGGTCCAGCAATCCATTGTAAGAAAATTTCTAGGTGATTCCCACGCATGCTAAAGTTTAACACATGGTAACTATTAACAACTAGTGCCTGAGGCTGCAGAGACGAGCAGAGGGCAGATACGAAGGGTTTAGTAGCCTATTATTAAGCCCTAAGGTGCAGCGGCGTTCGTAGTAACGGTTCTTAGCGGGCTCAACTCTAACTTCCCCTTCCTACTCCCTCAGCGCCCGCCTAGAGCTCCCGCCTCGCTGATTGGTGGGGTCTCTCTGGATCTTCACCGCCGATCCAACCACGGAGAGCATAAATGGAGAGAGGCGGGACTAGGCACGGCTAGAACGGCGCCCCTATTGGCTACAGACCACGGCGCGGACGGAAGTGCGCGTGCGCACAGGCGAGGCGCGCCCCCGGCGGCCGTTGAAAAATGGCGACTGTCGCCGAGTTGAAGGCCGGTGAGTGCGACTGGGAGGTCTACCTGGTGAAGTGTGTTGGCCTTCAGTCTGTGAAAAGGATGGGACGAAAGGAGGGCCCGCGGAACACCAAAGTCAGCCTGTCCCAGGGTTGTTCTGCGGCGTCAGGGCCTGCGGAGCATCCGGCGGGTGTGGCGGCTGCAGCTCGGGGCTCTGGGGGTAGGGATGTGGTTGCCTGGGGGCTGTTTTTAAACCGACTTTAAACTGGAGGAGGAGCCCCGGGATCCGCGGGTGCCTGAGAGGTCTGAAGTCCTGCACCCTGGGGCTCAGGCTCATCCTTCTGGAGTCTGCCGGGATCGAGGCCTTGGACCTGGCCTTTTCCTCCGGACTGATGGTTGCAATACCGAAACAACCACTGTTGGTGTTCGGCCCAAACGTAAACCGTTTCCTTGGCTATCTACCTGAATCCGTACAACCACCCGCGAGGTGGGTCACCATTTTCCATGGGGAAAAACTGTAGCTAGAAAGGTGTCTGGCCTGACCATATTCTCCTGTGTTTTAAAGAAAACTTCCACAAAGAGTCGAGTCTTTTAAGCTGAGAACATTTGTATACCTTTAGTTTTGACGCAGATGTCCAGACAAGTAATAGTAATTATGGTTGTTAGTGATCGAGCCTTCTGTCAGGCACTACCCAACCCCTGTGTTATCTAATTGATTCCGTATAACAACCTTATGCTCATTGCAGAGATTAGGAAACTGAGGCGCTGAGAGGTGAAACAGCTCACCCAAAGTAATTTAGCTAGAAAAAGGCAGAGAGTAACTTGGGAGATGCTGCACCAGGTCTGCAGGTCTTCGTTACTGAGTGATACTTAGTATCTGCTAGTAAGACCAGTTCCAGTTTTCAGGAGATTTAGGCTCTAAATCAATGATTCCTAGATAGTTCCAGTTTTCAGGAGATTTAGGCTCTAAATCAATGATTCCTAGAGATTTGGAGAAAATGATTTGAGAGTATGATTCAGTAATTATTGATATAAATGTATATTTGTGGCCTCAGGCTGGTGAACAGTCATTAAAAAGGCATACCTTTAGGATTTCCCTGGTGCAGTGACACCGCCCCCCCTCCCCTCCCCCCCCCCCCCCCCCCCACACACACACACAGTGCAGCCAGCACAGGTTCTATCCCTGGTTAGGGAACTAAAATCACACAGTGGGGCCAAAAAAAAAGAGGCACACCTCTATCCACAAGCACAGACTCGACATGAGTTGGTGTACCCTCTCCCCAGGAAACACACATCACCTGTAATGTTGCATGCTACTTCTGAGGATTTACAACTAGTAAAGAACCTGCTGCCAGTTCAGGAAAGAGACTCAGGTTTGATCCCTGGGTCAGGAAGATCCCCTGGAGGAGGGCATGGCAACCCACTCCAGTGTTCTTGCCTGGAAAATGCCATGGAGAAAGGAGCCTGCAGGCTACGGTTCATAGAGGTGCAGAGAGTCCAATATGACTGAAGTGACTTAGCACACAGCACACTGTGTTTCCTATTGTTTAATATTTTACAGTTTTGGTAAAAGATTGTATAGTCCATGGGGTAGCAAAGAGTCCCACGTGACTGAGCGACCTTTCGCTTTCACCACTTTCACTCCGAGGATATAAACCAGGTTAAGAAGCTCTGTCTGAAGAAATTGTCATGGTGCAGTGTTTTAATAAACATGATAATAGAGTGAAGGTCAGAATGGCATGGAGATTAGGGATGTATTACACATATATAGGGAGCCCTTTAGGTGTTTTCTGCATTCCTCAGCTCTGAATGTGCCTAGTGTTCAAGAGAAATCTAATGAAAATGTTTGCCAATCATTTATATTACTTGGGCTTTCACCTTTTTAAAGCACTTTCACTTCACATTTTCCTGCCTTACTTGGTTCTGCCTCTGAGACATAGAGCTCATGTTGGAGAAGGCAAGTGAGGCAAGAGTTAGTGATCTAGCCCTGAGGTAGTGATGACATGCAAGGTTCCTAACTCCAAATTCTTCTTTTTCTGGTTATTTTTGTTTTTGGCTGCTCTGGGTCTTCACTGCTGTGTGCGGGCTTTCTCAAGTTGCAGTGAGCCTGTCTAGTTGTGGTGTGCTGGCTTCTCCTTTCGGAGGCTTCTCTAGTTGCGGAGCATGGAATCTAGAGCAGACTCAGTAGTTGTGGCACATGGGCTTAGTTGCCACGTGGCATGTGGAATATTCCTGCCCCAGGGGTCAAACCTGTGTTTCTTGTGGTGGCAGGCAGACTCTTAACCACTGGACCACCAGGAAAGTCCAGCTTCTTAATTCTCATTTCTCTGCTGAATTTGAGGCTATGCTGTATGCGTATACAGAGTAATTGGATATGTCTAAGGGGGAATCTCTGTCTAATTTTCAAAGATGGAGTTAGAGAACAGGGGTTTAGTAATGATTCCAACATAATAAAGCTGTACCTTCCCTTCCCTTCATGGGCCTGTTACACAGTCTGATTGGGTGATAACTACTTTTAACCTCCCTGCAAAAAGAGGTTGAGGAGCTGATCTAAATGTAAAGAGCAAGGAAGGTTAAAGTCTAGTCTAGATTTATCCCTTTAATCATATGACCCAGATTTTTATTGTTTTATCAAAGCTTAAAAAAAGTTTCATGTCCATGCCTACATGAATACAGTCTCTGGGCTCCCTTTTGAATTGTCATTGTGGTGTACTTATTTATAGCACAATACAGTATTAAACTATATTTATTATTCCAGTAGCATACAGCACGGGGTTTCCCTGGTGACTCAGTAGTAAAGAACCCACCTGTCAATGCAAGAGATTCCGGTTTTCAGTCCCTGGGTTAGGAAGATCCCCTGGAAAAGGAAATGGCAAACCACTATAGTATTCTTGCTTGGGAAATCCCATGCATAGAGGAGCCTGGCAGGCTTCAGTCCGTAGAGTTGCAGAGAGTCAGACACGGCTGAGCGACTGAGTGCAAGTATACAGCACAATATTATAAAGCCTTTAGGCAGCATTTATTGATCTCTTACTCTGTTCTAGGCACTATGGGTGAAATGTGTTGCTTCTCTGGAGTTGTGATTTAGCTGTTAGGGACCACATGGGGGAAAAAAGTTTTTAGACAACTATAAGGGATGATGCCAATTCAACCCTATCCATGTTATTATTTATAGCTAAAAGCTCATTATCATAACTACTGATAATTGTAGTAGTGACCCTTGCTCATCAAGGTTTTAGATTACATTCAGCGTATATATCCCAGATTCCTTAAGATGGCATTGATAAGGCTACATGTTAGATTTCTAACTAGGCTTCAATTTAAAAATGTTACTTTTTAGGAAGACATACAGATGGCTAACAAACACATGAAAAGATGCTCAACATCACTCATTATCAGAGAAATGCAAATCAAAACCACAATGAGGTACCATTATACACCAGTCAGGATGGCTGCTATCCAAAAGTCTACAAGCAATAAATGCTGGAGAGGGTGTGGAGAAAAGGGAACCCTCTTAACACTGTTGGTGGGAATGCAAATCAGTCCAGCCACTATGGAAAACAGTGTGGAGATTTCTTAAGCTGGTAATAGAACTGCCATATGACCCAGCAATCCCACTTCTGGGCATACACACCAAGGAAACCAGATCTGAAAGAGACACGTGCACCCCAGTGTTCATCGCAGCACTGTTTATAATAGCCAGGACATGGAAGCAATCTAGATGCCCATCAGCAGACTATTGGATGAGGAAGCTGTGGTACATATACACCATGGAATATTACTCAGCCATTAAAAAGAATTCATTTGAATCAGTTCTAATGAGATGGATGAAACTGGAGCCCATTATACAGAGCGAAGTAAGCCAGAAAGATAAAGACCATTACAGTATACTAACACATATATATGGAATTTAGAAAGATGGTAACGATAACCCTATATGCAAAACAGAAAAAGAGACTCAGATGTATAGAACAGACTTGTGGACTCTGGGAGAAGGCGAGGGTGGGATGTTTCAAGAGAACAGCATCGAAACATGTATATTATCTAGGGTGAAACAGATCACCAGCCCAGGTTGGGTGCATGAGACAAGTGCTCGGGCCTGGTGCACTGGGAAGACCCAGAGGGATCGGGTGGAGAGGGAGGTGGAAGGGGGGACCGGGATGGGGAATACATGTAAATCCATGGCTAATTCATTTCAGTGTATGACAAAAACCACTGCAATGATGTAAAGTAATTAGCCTCCAACTAATAAAAATAAATGGAAAAAATAAATAAATAAAAATGTTACTTTTTTTTTTAAGATTTATTTATTCATTTTTGACTGTGCTGAGTCTGTTGCTGCAGGGGCTTTTCTTTAGTTGTGGTGAGAAGAGGGCTGCTCTCCAGATGCAGTGCACAGGCTTCTCACTGCGGTGGTTTTTCTTGTGGAAGCACAGGCCCAGCCTCTAGGGCTTGCAGGCTTCAGTAGTTTTGGCATGTGGGCATGCTAGTTGTGGCTCCTGGGCTCACTGGCTCAGTAGCTGTGGCACATGGGCTTAGTTGGTCTGCGGCATCCCTTCCTAGATCAGCGATGGAATCCATGTCCCCTGCATTGGCAGACAAATTCTTCACTACTGAGCCATAAGGAAGCCCCTAATCTTAGAATTTTAAGGAGTTAACTCATAGTTATCTTTAAAAAACAAACAAAACCCCAGAACAAAAGCTTATCTCTTTTGTTCAGAATGGGCCATTTCCCAAGGGTTCCAGGTATCAGTTTTATACAAAAGACACAACATAATCCTTTTTGGAGTGTACTTGTTATTTTCAATTATATACTTTCTAGACCAGAGATTTTTAGTGAAAGATTGAACCTGTCTCTTGGGCTTTCCAGGTGGCTCAGTGGTAGAGAATCCACCTGCAGTGCAGGAAATGTGGGTTGCATCCCTGGGTTGGGAAGGTCTTCTAGAAAAGGAACTGGCAACCCACTCCAGTATCCTTGCCAGGAAATTCCATGGACAGAGGAGCCTGGCAGGCTATAGTCCATGGGGTCGCAAAAGAGTTGGACACAACTTAGCAAATAAACAGCAATAGAACCTGTCTGCAGTTGACAACTACTCTTGAAAAGATAGGAGACTCTGGGAGACAAGTTCAGGTCCTAGTGAGCTGAGTATAATTCTTCTCCCATTTTCTCTTCACTAAACTTGTGTATCAGTCTGTGGCCTCTTGCAGTGACGCTGTTGGAAGGATAAACTTAACATTTGGTTAACTAAATTAAAGTAGTAAATCATTGCAATTTGGGAGCTTTATTTTTTATTGCAAATATGGCTTGTGGTAGCTAATGTGATGATTGTTCAGTTTGTCGTATAGATTGAAAGGGTGTGATATTTTAAACGTTTTGTTTTAAAAGTTTGCCTAAGAATGGCAAAAACTTATTCTATAACTGAAACATTAATACTTTATATTAAACAGTTTTAAAGGACACTTTGGAAAAAAGAGGAGTGTTAGGGCATTTAAAAGCAAGAATTCGTGCGGAAGTTTTCAATGCCCTTGATGATGAAAGTGAACCTCGGCCATCATTGTCTCATGAAAACTTTCTAATTAATGAACTAATTCGGGAGTATTTGGAATTCAACAAATACAAGTATACAGCGTCGGTCCTCATAGCAGGTAAGAGGTTATTTATTGTTAATCACCTGAGGTGAAATCTGCCTTTTCCCTTCCCCCAGTTCTCAGAAAGTGTTTAGCCTAGAAATCTAATTCCATTACCAAACGGTGTCATCTGGGACATGACTGGGACATAAAAATCCCATGGGTTCTTTTCATATCATAGCTTGAATAAGTTCTCATGGTGTTTACTGGACTATAGGAGAAAATGACTAAAGACTTAACCTAGGTGCATACCTTGAAAGTCATAATTTCTGATTCTGAGAATAAACAGTTATTTACATTTTGCCCTATGTGCTGTCAGTCTTTTTCCTATGTATATGGTTTAAAAATACACACAGACTTAATATATATATTCTTTATTAAAAAATATAAAATGTTGAAGAGAAAGCCTCAAAGTATTGCTCCCATGTATTGATTAGGCATGTATTCAGATGTATATAAAAGCATTATATTTAAAAAGGACTAGATAATCTATAGAAATTTCAAATCACTATGTTGTACACCTCACACTCAAATAATACTGTGAATCAACTAAAATTTAAAAAAGAAAACGATGAGGAAGATAAACGCCAAGCTCATTCTAGTGATGAGAGGGAGAGAAATGGTACTGGGGGAAGGGGGTCAACAATTAAAGTGAAATTTACTTTATCTGTTAAATTTTATTTCTTAAGAAAGAAAGCAAAAGAACTAGAAGAATGTGGACAATAGTCAGGGTTGGTATTGCCCCTAGGCTGGGGGAGATGAGGTTGGGAAGACGATCAAAGCACCTACTTGTACATTTCTTGATTCCCTTGTCCAATGTTTAACACGCTTTAAGACTATTTGGTGCCTTGGAGATATGCTTCATCAAAGAAAAGAGATCATGAAGTAGATTTTGAAAGAATGGATTCCTTATTGTGATGCTGGAACTTTCCATTGGATACATCTTTTGTTAATATTCTAGGTCTTTTATTTAATGTTAAGTATATACCTTAACTGAATAAAGACTGATGATTTTTATTGGTTTAAGGATCATCAGTGTCAGTATCTTCACTTTCCTCAGTCTGTTATAGATGGCTGTATAATATGTTACTACTCAGAAAAGTGAATGTGAAAATATCATCAATTAGATGTACTGGACTTGTGCTTACCTAGAATGAAATACAGTGACAGTAGTCAGGTTTCTACAGGGTCTTGACTTTAAAAAATTGAGATGTACTTAGCATAAAGATACTTTACCATTTGCGGTATTTAGTTCTGTGGATTTTGCCAGATTCACACAGCTGTGTGGCTGCCGCCACAGTCACAATATAGAAATGTCTGTCCCCTCAAAAAAAATGCCCTGTGCCCTTTTGTAGACAACTTCTTTGCCTTCTCTCAACTCCTGTCAACGTCTGATCTGTTGTTTTCTGTACCTGGTCATTTGCCCTTTCCAGAATGTTGCATAAGTGAAACTGTACAGGATGCAGCATTTTGAACCTGCTTCCTTTCACTCAGCGTAACGCATTTGAGACTGCTGTTTTTTCCCCTCTGAATAGCATTCCATTGTATGGCTGTGTTGATTTATCTGTTATCAGTTGATGGACATTCAGGTTGTTTCTAGTTTTTGGCAATTAAGAATGCAGCTGCCATTAACATTCACTTAACGAGGATTGTCTGAACTTGTTTTCACTTCTCTTGGGGAAAGAGCTAAGAGTGGCTTTGCTGGGTTGTATATGGTAATAAGTATCTGCTTACCTTTGTGAGTAAATGCACCATTTTGTTCTCCTGCCAGCAAAGTTCTCCCAGTTGCCCTGAATCCTTGCCAGCACTTCATATTTAGTGTTCATTTTACTTTTAGATTTATTGCCAACAAATGGATATCAGTGCTGTCATGTATTTAATTTGTAGGCTTCTTAGAAAATAGGACTTCTCAAGTCTAGTATATAGAAACAGTAATTTCCCAACTCAAAATTGGGGGATTTAAAAACTGACTTTATATTAAAGATATGCATTTAACAAAGTAGGTATTTTGAAAGTCATAAAATCACAGTTGCATCTGTCTTGGTGTGTGCCATCATCATTCTTCTAAAAGCTGAAAAATGTGTATACCTCTTAAGTGTGGTTTTTATAAAAATCCTATTTACTTTTTAGATTAATAAAGCCTCAGTGTTTTGTGATTTTCCCCCCAGAATCTGGTCAACCTGTAGTTCCACTGGACAGACAGTTTCTCGTCCATGAACTAAATGCATTTGAAGATTCAAAGGATAATACAATGTAAGAAGTTTTTTTAAAAAAAATAAGTTTTCAGATACTGTGTTGTATTGGGGTCATAATTGTGTAGTGGTACTTTTATTTCATTTTAATTCATCAGGTATTTATTTGGGTCCAGTGTGTGTCTGGCACTGTACTACATCCAAGGGATACAGCAGTAAGTGCTAAAATGCCTGTGGTTTCAGAGGATGAAGTACCCCTGCTTCATTCTGAGGGTCGTGTCTCTTGGCTTCTTGATGCATCCTTTTGTTTTTCATCTGAGGCTTTGCTCTATCAATTGTTTTCTGCTTCATAGTTAATCTTCGCCTTCTGCTTCCTTTACATCAGCTTAGGAATGTACTTAATTCTCCCCTACCCCCAAAATCCTATTTTTACTACTGAAGTTAGTGAAAATCAACCCTCTGTTTTCATTTTGTTAGCTACATTTTTTGCCTTCTGTACATTTAAAATTTTCTCCTCATCATTTATACTGAAATGTTTTGCCTTCTCTACATTTGAAATTCTCTCCTCATCATTTATACTGAAACTATGCTCTTGAGAAAGAGTGACCACTGTCTAATAGGTTCTTAGTTCTTTTTCTACTTTAATGTTTCCTAAACTTTTTCTAGAGGATCCCTGAATGGCAGAAAAAAATTATACCTAGGAAACCTGGGAACATAGCTCAAAGTAGTCTCCCTAGCAAGAAATTTCTTTGAAATCTTATGTTTTTCATTCTAAAAGTTTATTGAATGTTTTCATTCTACTTCATGATGTAATTGTTTTACCATAAAAACGTTTAAAATGACATGCCAATAAAGTTGAACCGTCCCTCCAATCTTTGTGTAAAATGAATGATCTGGGATCATAGGCTACCTTTAACCGCTACTTTGTATCAAGCCCCCAGCACTGAGAGTGGGAATATACCTATTTCCAATTTGAGAAGCTCAGTTTTACTTGAATTTCTGCAGTATTGTGTAATATTAACAGCTCTTCCTTAAAACACTTGTCACTTGTCTTTGATGACCCTTTACTGGCTTGGTTTTTCTGTCTCCCTAATGGTCATCTGAATGGTGACTGAACTAACTGACTAACTAGTGGTCATCTCAGTTTCTTCACCGACTCCTTTAGGAAGGTTCTTCTAAATTGTGGGCACTCTCCCCCAGGATTTGTCCTTAACTTTCTTTTCTTCTTGTCCCTCTGCCCACTTTTCTTACTAAGTATTCTTGAGTCCTTAGTGATGCCGCCACACTGGTGACTGTGCCTTAAATCTGACAGATCTCATGAACTGCGGGCACACATTTCAGCTGGTATCTCAAACTTGGTGTGTCTAAACATCAAGTCCGTTATTCTCATCTCTTCAAACCCCCCTTGTAGCTTCCTCATAGAGCCATTCAGGTCCTTCCTTATCTCAGAGCTCACGTGTACTTCTGGCTCATTCTCACTTCTCCACCAGGCACTGTGAGTTCCATCAGTTCTGCCTGTGTGGTTGTGCCTATCTGTCCTTACGCCCTGCACCGGGCAGTTCAGGAGGCCTCTTTCCTGTTTCTCTCGAGTCATGTTCTTTTCTGACTCGTGTGTCATGCTGCCAACAGTTTGCTTTCTGAAAGACACGTATTGCTTTGTTTAAAGCATTTCCAGTGAAAAGATTTTAGATTTTAAAAAGTAATAAAGTCCATATACCAAGCATTAGGTGTAGGTGCCAGTGGAAGTCTGAAGTAGCACTCAACATTCAGTAAATATTTTTATTTAATATTATTTAATATTGAATTAATATAATTAACTAATAATTATATAAATTATTTTATAATTATTTTAATATAATATTTAATTATTTAATATTAATATTTTCAATAAAAGTTAAAATTTCACAAAATATAGGGTAAAGTATTTAATGACCTTATATTCGGTCTAGCCATGACACCAAGTGAGTTTGTGCCAAATTTATGAAGAAAATTAGTTTTTAGAGTTTCTGTTTTTCAAAATTGCAGATAAGGCATTGTGAAGCTGTACTTTAAAAACAATTATCACTATTTTTAACTCAGGATTTTTTAATAAAGAAACCTGATATTGAAGCTGCAGGTTAAATGAGCTGGTTATATGTTTTCTCATAACATCTAAAAATATCTAAATCTTAAATAGATTTTATTGTGAATTTAGCAAATAGAATTTTTTTTTTTAATTTAAAAATCCCCTTTGATCAGTTAACATTTGGGGAAACAATGGTTTAAAGTTGACCAAGAGACCTATTTTATATTCCTGGATACTGCTTTTATAAGAGCTGAGGCATCTTATTAAATAGAGAAACCCATTCTCTTGGTTTCCTTGTGGAATGGAAACATTGCTTTTGTGTGCAATTAGTTATTTGTTGCTGTATAATAGATTACCCCAGAATTTGGTGGTTTAATATAGCACTGTGGCGAGGAATCTTGAGAGTGACTTCTGTGGCTTAGCCTCAGTCGTGAGGTTGCAGTTAAGATGTTGGCCGGGGGGCAGTCATCTCAAGTCCTGGCTGGGGTTGGAGGATCCATTTCCATGTGGCTCACTCACATGGCTGTTTGTTGGAGGCCTCAGTTCTTAACAATTACATACCTTTCCATAGGACAGCTTGAGTGGCAGCTGACTTCCCCAGAGTGACAGAGAGAGAAGGCAGGGGAGATGCCACAGTGCTGTTGATGACCTGGTCTCTGAAGCTGGGAGTGCTGTCCCTCAGTGCCTTACTTAGTTCTAGAAAAAGTGAGTTCAGCTCACACTCAGGAGAGTAAGGCTCCCACCTTTTGAAAAGAAAGAATATCATACTTTAAACTATCACACCTGCTAGTAAGTAGATAACAATCTCAAAAAGACAATCCATTAAATTGATATTTTCTAACTGTGAGATTGGAAACAAGAGAAAACCTCTCTTTATTGTCATCAGAGCAGCTTCCATTGGTGCAGGGGCATCAGGCAGCATACTCTTAGGGAAAAAATACAGGACTTGGGGTTCAAGTGTCAAGTTTGCTTACTATCCAAGCAGTCCTCTCGCAAATCCTCTGTGAGCGGTGGTTTTCCCATTTATAAGTTGGAGATGATGATTATGACATCACAAGATGAGGATAAAATAAAGAAAGGAAAGAATGTTTTGTAAACTGTAAAGTAGTTTTTAAAATTTTCTCACCTGACACCTGTATGGCTTACATTTGCGTACCATTTAGTACATGCCAGGCACAGTTCTAAACACTTGACATTTATTGACATATTTGGTCCATGACTGCCCCTTGAGTAGAGACTATACTTACCCTCATTTATAGAGGAAGAAACATTTATAAGGCTGGGGATATTAAAAGTCTTGCTAAATCTTGAATCCTGTCAAGTGGCAGGGCAAGGATTTAAACCCAGACAAGGATTTATGAATCCAATAAGTGTGTATTGTATCAGACAGTGTTAGGTAGTGGGAAATCTTATACTGGACTTGGAGTTAAAAAAGAAAAAAAAGCTGATTCCTGTGCATTGATTGAATTTGCTTTTCAGTTTAGATGAAATTTAACTTGTTAACATGTTTCCTCTGGATTTTAAAATTATAGAGTCAAATTGTACGTTTACATTTCAAAAAGCATGAACAGTTTGCAATGTAGGTAATAACCATGTAACTTTTTTCTTTTAAGTCTAGTGAATTATTTGACTATTTTGATGTCAGAGACTACCTTTTACAGAATAGATATTTTAAAGTTTTTCCTGTTTATGCAAATTTAATTGATTTTTATTTTCTTCCTGCTATAGACCTCTTTTATATGGGATTTTAGCTCATTTCTTGCATGGAACTAAGGATGACAGCCAAAATACATTTCTGAAAGGGTCTTCATTCCAGCCTCCAAACCCAAATCTTGGCAGACAACCTAGTGGAAGAAAGCAAATGGGTATGAGTTTTCTGAGACTTATCACTCAGCTTTCAGCAAGTGTATTTTCTTCCTATCTATTTTTATCTTTGAGGTAGTTTTTCCTAAGTTTTTGAGTCATAATTTAATTCCATTTATATCTAATATAGTTAGCCTGTGTTATTTATCTTCAAATAAAAACCAAAATAGTTTTTGGAAAGACAATCTTGTGAGGAGCAGAGAGAAGACTAGACAAAATTCTTCGATATAATTTCTGTAAAGAAGTATTGAAAAACTTGATTTTCACATAGATTTGTACTCTTTGGAGCAGCTTAGATCCTGAAGAAAGAGCTTTTTATCAAGTTATCTATTTTTTTTCCTCTCAAACTGAGAAAAGTCAAGATTGCTGAAAATAGAGCAGTCACAGGTTTATGTTTTGTCCTTTGCATTTTCAGGATTCTTTTTTGGTGGGGAGTGGGGTGAATATTCTTTGTGGTAATGTAATTACTCACAAATAAATTCTTGAGAGAACAGCTAGCTCATATTTCTTTCAAGAATACTTACTCTTCCAATGAGCTTTCAGTTATTTTGATTTTATCAAAACACTAAGACCTCAATTTGATAATCTAAATTGAATAGTTTATAGCTCAGTATTTCCAACTATGGTACAGCTGATCTCTCTTTTTAAGGACAGTCATAGGTGGGGCTCAGGCAGCTGATTATCAGAAGAAATATAAGTCTTGACTGTTGAAATAAACTTTTAAGAAACATCTAAGTGCAGATTGTCTTTTGTAGTTTTTCTAAATTGCCATGAGCAATATTGATCATGTTAAATGTTTGCCATGTCTCTTAAGATCTGAAGGGAAAGTGATTTCTTGGAGGTTAGTTCTGCCTTTACTAGGAGTTATCCTTCTGTTTATCTTAGAATTCTGAATTGATGGGATGTTGGAAAAGAAATCACTCCCATCACTAATTTTACAGTTGAGAAAATCAAGACTAAGAGGCTCACTGCCTGTAGCTGGTCATTTTCAGCAGAATCAGCACCCTGGATTGCCATTCCTGTGTACTTTTCCACTTAAAGAATATGAGAAGCTTTCCTATTTACTTTTTTAAGTATTGATAAGGAACTGCCATTATTGCCTGCTATTTGGCAAGAACTTAAAAAGCAAAGCCAAACACCTGGTACAAGAGTAAACCCCTAAACATCAGTGATGTAAGGGAGAATTCCCTCTGACCTCATCTCCTTGCCTCTCCCTAACACCTCGGCTTCCCCCTGCTCCATAGAAGGCAGCACTGTTAGCTTGGCGGGTGTCCTCAGGGGCCATCTCTATTTACAGGCACTGTTTCTGCGCATAGCATCCTACATTTGTTTCTACATGTTATCAGTTTATGTGAGTCTGCTCCTACCTCATTCTTAAATTCCTGTATAGTATTCTGCGGTGCTACTACTAATCACTCTTTGCTAATGTACTTTTGTATGTTTTAAATTTCTTGGTTTACAGTATTGGAGGGTAGCATTAGCATTTCTCTTACGTGCATACCTTGAAGTAAAATTGGTTCAAAATATTGCATATTAAAAAATGTGGTAGATACTGTCTAATTCTCCTCCAAAAAGGCTTTACCATTTTACATGTTTACCAAGAATATATGATAATACTAGTTTCTCTATTTAATTGTCACCAGTGGATAGCGTATGCATTAACTCTTGTTAGCACAGCAAACCTGTAACATTGGTGTTTGTAGTTGTAGTGGGAGGGGAGCAGGAACAGGAGAGTGCTAGAGAGGATGCAAGAGTCCTTGGTTACCTTGGCTCCTCCCTGTAGAAAGTGCCAGAGACATCAGAGAATAGAGTTGAGCTCAACAAAGCTTTGGACGCCTGTTCTGTGGAAGACTCAGAAAGGAGGGTGAGTGCACTAATAGGAGAACAGTGATCTACACAGGTTATTTTTCTTGATTGTCAAAAATGTTCTTGGCACAACAGGGATGGTGAAGAATTGTTAATTCCAAATTGCATAAGGTTTCTGTAACATATTTAAGCATCCTATTTACTTTCTCAACAGCAACTTATTGTGTGAAGGATACATTTTATTTGACAACATTGAGAAAGTTACAAAGAAATTAAAATTATTCTTCAGATTAAATACCTTCTATTGACATAAACTCAATCCAGGTGAAATATAAAACACTAAAATTAAACTCTCTTTTATTGGAAAATGAGTCCCAAGCATGCCATCATGAAAGCACTTTTTTTAAAGGATTTCTTTGTGTTTTTCGGCTGTGCTGGGTCTTCGCTGCTGCTCCCCCTGGGCTTTCTCTGGTTGCAGCAAGTAGGGGCTGCTCTTTGTTGTGGGTGCGCGGGCTCCTCATTGCGGTGGCTTCTCTTGTCGTGGGGCACAGGTTCTAGGTGTGCCGGAACAGGAGTTGTGGCACAAGGGCTTAGTTTCCCCACAACTAAACAAAAATTGCCCTCTTGTTTTTGGCCGAAGACTATTTCCTACAATTTTGGTGGGTGGTTTTCTGAGTTTGGTAGGAAGTTTTCTTCTCAAGCCACAAGAGGGTGCTGCTGGGAGGATTTCTGTTTGAAGAAGAGTTTTTTTGTTTTTTTTTTTTCTTTTTGGTTAACTTTGGCATCCCTCAAAATACTAATTGAAAACACAGTCCTTTGTTGTGAATTCCAGTCCTTACATACAGTGTAGGTTTGTAAGTACTTACCCATGAGTTTACTCCAGGGTGTACTCTTTTCACTTAAAAAAAAAAAAAGAATAATTAGTAAGTCCCTAGTACTAAACATTTCCCATTTCTTCAATAGTGTTAAAAAAAAAATCCAACATTTTTTTCACTGTTCTAAGCCATCTAAAGACCTTGTATGATAGAAATATGTAGTATCCTAAAATATGTATAGTTAAGTCTGCCTACTGCCCATTTTGACTTGGGTGAGCACTGACCTTTGCTTGTATTCTTGCAGAAGACCACTTGCGGAAGGAGCAGGGGAGGGGCACTGATACTGAAAACCTGCACACTTCTGCCTCGGTGAAGAGATGACACTTCCAACTGGGGCATCTTTTATCTTAAACTTGTGTGTATTAAATAACTTATTTATTCTCCCAATGTTACCAGAATTCATCGCTAATACTGTACTTTGTAAAAACGTGAAGTTTCTACAAAACCTTTAGCCCCTCATGTTTTACTGCATTTGTGAATAAAAGCCAACTCTGTCATCTAGTTTACCAGATTTGACTTGAAAGAAAATGTGTGGTTTTTAGGACGATTTTAAAGGTCCCTAAATCTGTGAGAAACGAAAGGGGTTTTTTTTTTGTACTCTATAAATTCTTCTAAAGAAAAAAATCAAGTATTTCTAGCCATATGCCCTGTTCTGTTTTTGGCTGTGCTTCGCAGCTTGTGGAATCTTAGTTCCCTGACTGCGGATTGAACCTGGGCCCTGGCACTGAAAGTACTGAGTCCTAACCACTGTACCTCCAGGGAGTTCCCTGCTCTGTTCTTTACCATGGCACATTGATTAAATTTCTTTCAGGCTGGAATAATGTGGATTTACAGGAAAATGCATTCATTAAAAAAAAAAAAACACATTTAAAAAAACACTAAAGCCAGAAAAAACTAATTCCTGTAAAGTTTGATTTGGGGGGGGTGAGTGAAACTAGCTATTTTTTAGATAACCATTTATAATTAGGTTTAAATATCTGAATTACTATCTAAAATTGAACTTTAAAACTTGGTAACAATGTACTTTTTATTTTCTTAAACAATTTTGGCTTCTCCTAGAAGATTTAATTAAAAGGTGGGGGTGGGGGATAATTCTTTTAATTTTGCTGTACGTAAAACAAAGAGTTTATTACTTGAAGAATGTGGAATAAGCATGATGAGACAGGCTTTAGGAGAAATACCGGAAAGTACCTTTTAAAAGATGGCATTGTTTATCTTCCTTGTGGCCCTCAGTTGTGCAGTTACCAGATGAGCTCTGAAAGGGCCAACCCTCACTTGTATGGGCTCTGAAAGCCTTCTTAAATATCATGTTTTATTCCTGGGATAGAAAAGTAGTAAGATTTCTTATAGTGCCATCTCTAAAATGCTTTGATATTTATTGACATTTTTATAATGTGGAATCTTCAGGCTGGCTTCACTGAAGCAGCAAATGAGTATAGTAGACAGAACCTGATTGGCACAAGATACAAGGTATATTCAGAACAAAACTGCATGGGTACCTATACACTGACAACATTTAGCTTTAACATTTTCCATAGGAAGGGTGATAAGGAAAGACTGTAGCTGGCAAAATTGGCATTCTTTTTGGGGTGTTGATTCTGTGCTGCATTTGGAAATTACCAAAACTTTATTTCTGGTGCTAGTCAAGTTTTTGGTGTAAGGAGTTCAATCCTTACAGATTAACCAAGAATTTTTATCTTAATGCTGAAAACTATTAAAGAAGTTCCCTTAAATCATACTTTACAAGTCAAAAGATTTTTGAGAGCCCCTATTAGTGGGCTAAAATTATATATACAGATGTAGAAATACTATAAAAGGCTCATTTCCATTTTTTAAATGAAATCTATAGTACCTGATTACAATGATGAATTCCACTGTATTGTATAGGGGAATGTAACTATCTAAATTCTTCTGAGAGGATTTGGTTTACACCCAGGAATGTTGGCAGTGGACACTGTTTACCTCAGGAATTGCAATCATGCAGGACTAGATTAAGAAAAAGTGCTGAAGTTTATCATTTTGGATACAATATGAAATCAACAAAATAGAAGCTAAATGGAATTGTCACATGTAGTCCATATTGTGTCTGTATGCATTATTCTGTAATTTGTTTGTACCTAGGCAACTTTTATACTTTCAGTGTACCATTTAATAAAAAAAAAAAAAGCGTGCAAAAGGTGTTCCTATGACTCTTCTGTCATTAAGAGATGTCCACTGGAACCAGAATAAGGCTTGGCGATGGTTCCTTAGGCTTTCTTTGGGGATCTCCGGCAACCTAGCTGTTGGAGGGTTGAGGATCGCTGGCATCAGCCATGTCACCCTGGGATAGTTATTCTTCACTGGGTGGCAGTGGTAGGGGCTGGTGATGTTATTCTCTGAGGGCACAGTGTCATAATCTGTGGGGCCATATATGGTTTGAAAAAACACATTTAGTGGTACGTTTTTTTTTTTGGTTGTGCCTTGTGGCTTGCAGGATCTTAGTTCCCTGACCAGGGACTGAACCTGGGCCGTGGCAGTGACAGCGCCAAGTCCTAACCACTGGACCACCAGGGAATTCCCATACATTCTAGCAGTTTAAATAGGTTCTTGAGCTGAGACACTTAAGGAAGGAAAAGATAAACATAGAAGACCTATCAAACTCTTCTCATGAACTCATAAACTAAATTAGTACATCATTGCAGTAATTTTCATGGGGCTGTTAGAAGAAGTTATCCTCTAGACATGCAGGAGAAGTTTTAGCAGAAAACTTACACAAAAATAGGATGGGAAGTGGACTTGAAGAGGAATTTAGGAATAGCAGACATTTAAAATTTTGGCAGTAAAAAAACTCATAGCAGGACCAGAGGTGGCTTTTGAAGATGATAAATTTAAGCTTAGCATATATGTTTGCTTAGTATCAACTAACAGCTTTATAATTATGTGCAATAACATATTTGTATATGTCCCACATGCCTGTATGATTATGTAAAATATGATGTGTTCTTTTAACCTAAAGCCAAGTGTACATAAAGGACTAACACTTGTGAGAAGATTCCTTTAAAGGCATTTGGGACAGTGGTTCCCAGCCACTGGGCATTTCATTTTTGTAACAGCCATTTTGCAAGGATTGTGTGGTCTTTTCATTCATTTTTAAAAAATGAAAGTGAGGTAAAACTACCTTTTAAAAAATAGACAATTTTTAAAAACAGTTTTAGGTTCACAGTAGAATTGAGTGTGAAGTACAGAGTTCTTACATACCCCCAAAAGTGGTACACACTCACAGGCTCCCTGTTATCAACATATCCCCTGAAAGTGGTACATTTGTTACATTCAATGAACCTACATTGACATATCATTGTTACTCAAAGTCCATAGCTGATGTCAGGGTTCACTCTTGGTGTTGTATAGCCTATGGGTGTACATGTCACTGGGCTTCCCTTGTGGCTCAGCTGATAAAGAATCTTCCTGCAATGCAGGAGATCTGGGTTCGATCCCTGAGTTGGGAAGATCCCCTGGAGAAGGGAAAGGCTACCCACTCCAGTATTCTGGCCTAGAGAATTCCATAGACTATATATATATATAGTCCATGGGGTTGCAAAGAGTCGGACATGACTGAGCAACTTTCTCTTCACTTCATACATGTCACTACATGCATCCACCCATCATTACAGTATCAGTAATTAAACTGCCATAAAAATCTTTTGTGCTCTGTCTAGTCTTCCTTCCTTTTTCTCCTGTAACTCCTGGCCACCAGTGATCTGTTTATGGTCTCCATAGTTTTACCTTTCCAGAATGTTATATAGTTGGACTCAGTGTATGTAGCTTTTTTACACTGTTTTCTTTCACTTAGTAATACTCATTTAAGTTTTGTACACTCTGTTCATGACTTGAAAGCCCATTTCTATATAGTGCTGAGTGGTACTCTGACATCTGAATGCACCACAGTTTATCCACTTACTTAGACGGACTTCTCAGTTGCTTCCAAGACTTGCTATTAATGAAGAAAGCTGCTCTAACTAAACAACTGTGCAGGCTTTAGTACAGACATAGGTTTTCAGCTCATTTGAGTAAATCCCAAGGAGTGTGATCTGCTAGGTCATATGGTAAGAACACGTTCACTTTTGTAAGAAACCATAAAATGATTTTTATTGAGAATTTTTGGACCTTTCCTGATAGAGGTAGAGAATCCAAAGTTACCAAGATACTAGAACTGGAAATCGACGATGAAGGAGCACTGCAAGACTAAACTGTGCAATTTAGTCTTGAACCTGGAGAAGTGTGGGGGCCATAACGTGTAAAAGACAGGGCTTGTGTGCAGGAGCAGAACCATGCTTGTGGTCAGGGAAGATGGCCCTTTATTCGCAAGAAGGCAGAGTCCTGCAGATCTTGAGCTGGATAACCTGACATCATTGTGAACCACATGCAGGAGCCACGCATCAACCCAGTCTTTGAGGTTATTAAAAACTGGAGAGACTCACTCACACTTTCAGACTTTTTGAATCTAGTAGTAAAGTCAAAGCTATTTGATTTAAAAAAAAAAAAAAAAAGACTCTAAAAGAGAGGAATTTCCCCGCTGCCATCTTGTTCCATGACTTCATGGACACTCCCAGGACACGTCACCTCACAGGAGCCATGCCAAGGAAACTTACTTGACAGCCCTTAGTCAGTCACAGTTATGTTTTTTGAAAGTAATTTCCCCCCCCCCTCAATCTTTAACTGGCTTTTTGAGCCATGAGAAATAAAACAAAGGCATCTGATTTTGAAGAGTCAAACATCTGAGCTTCTGCATTAGATAGACATTGAATGACTATTATGTGCAACACATGCGGTCCGTAAGGACTTCTAGAGTGTGCCAGAAATGGCTTCTATAAGGCCTTCCCCACGTTGAGGCAAAGATTCTGACCATCTCTGCTTTTCTTTGAGAAACACAGGCTCAGAGGGGTTCACTGACAATCCCGTGGCCCCCTGGTTGGTGCTTAGCAGATCATGAGTTCAAACCCTCAGACTTCTCTACTTATGCTGGACTCCACACAGCAGGGTGGGAGTTCCTGCTCCATCATTAGCTAGCTGAGCTAAATTGGCTGGTTATTTCATTCACCAAACCTGGTTCCTCCACAGCAAAAGAGAAAAAAAAAATGGTTAAGCATATACCTCATAGGGTTATTATAAAGGCTACATGAGGTAATGTAGTGCAATTCAGTGTCTGTTATAAAACCTTCATTTATTAATAGCTTAGTATAATTAATCTCTTAAAAGTTACCAAGTTCTTTAAAGAATCAGATGCACCGCTTTGGAATAGCAATGTGAATGCCTCTGGAAACATGCCGGTTTTCACTCTGAGGTCAGCGAGTTGGACTCTCACAGCCTGCTCTGGATTATCTTTCCAGCATGGGAAGGAGATGATCAACTTCAGTTTTTCCCCCTTCCCCTTCTCTGCTCCACATCAGCTCTGTACTAATGCAGGGACAGTTTCCACTCCTTTTACAGTGTAGACATTACGAGGCACATGGGGAAGCCGCCCATTCATCACTTTCTGAAGAACTTTACCCCTGACATCCCAGTCAGCTGAACGCTGGCTGTTGCGAACTCTGACTTAGGCCCATTATGTGGGGTGTGGAGCTGGGCCTGGGTGTTTTAAGGGTGGAAAGCAGGGAAGATGTTGGAGGGATGAGGAAGGGCCAGAGAGGGTCTGAGATGCAGAACTGCAGAGGGGGCTGGCAGCCCGCAGGAAATAGCAGGCAGGACAGGCTCTCATCATTACAAGGTCCTCAAGGCCAAGTGCAACTCTGCTCGGTTTCATGTTCGTTTTGAATAATAGCAGCTAACATGAAGCGTTTTACATGGATATATGTTCATTTGGGGCTTCCCTGGTGGCTCAAATGGTAAAGAAGCTGCCTGCAATTTCAGGAAACCCGGGTTCAGTCCCCAGGTCGGGAAGCTCCCCTAGTGGAGGGCATGGCAACTCACTCTGTATTCTTGCCTGGAGAATTCCATGGAAAGGAGCCTGGTGGGCTACAGTCCATAGGGTTACAAAGAGTTGGACACAATTGAGCAACTAACACAGACACATGTTCATTTTACATGGATCTTCTCAAGGACCATTTACAAACAGCTGGGATGTGAAGAAGTGACTGCTGTTGTTCCCATTTTACAGGTAGGGAAACTGAGGCACCAGGTCAAACAACTAGAAAATGGCACTGGCAGATTCCAACTAACCCTAGTGGGGGTCTTTAGCCTCAAGGCTAATTCTTCTGGGCATTTCCCTGTAATGCCCCTTGGGAAGTGAATCATGGCAGCTGTGGGCCTCAGACCCACTGAGGGTTCAGGCAAAACTCTTCACTCCTCCAGGGCCTCAGTTTTCTCACCTGCAAAACTGGGGCATTAATAAAGGCCTCGCCATCACCTGACCTGGTGGCCAGAGGAGCGTTTGTCGGATAAGACCAGGGCGAGTACCAAGCACAGAGCCGGGTAAGGGTCTTCCAACATCTTTAACCCCCTCAGCAAACCCTCTGGCTTAAGCATCTGGGACCAACGTGGGACTTGGGGGGCCACCTCCTTCTGGCTCAGCCACAAGCAGAGGGGTCCCCCTCCCACCCCACTGCCCTCAGATGCCGCCCCCCCAAACCCCGCAGGGCGCAGGGAGGCCGCTCGGCACCATATTTAGTCAGGGGGAGCGGGCAGCCCCGAGCTGGTATGCAGCGCTGGGAATTCCTGCAGGAAGGAGCCTGCGCCTGCCCTTTTTGGGTTGTCTCCCGCCCAGCGCCCCCCGCCGCCCGCCGCGCCTGCCCGGGGTGGGAGGACCGGCCGGGAACCTAGGAGTCCGGCCGGGCGGGGAGCGGGGCGCCCAGCTGCCCGTGGGTCCCCGGGCTGGCGCAGGGCCAGCCCAACGCTGCGGCTTCCTTTTATGGCCTGTGTGCGTGCGTGTGACAGAGAGGAGAGAAATGGGGGGAGAAAGGGAGGGCGATCTGGAGCCAGAGACACATGGACCAGAGACAGAGAGAGACAGAGAGACAGTAAGAGACAGCCATGGGCAGAGTGACGGAGACACACAGAATGAAAGGCAGAACAAGACAGACAAACGGTGACGGAGAGACCCGGTGTCAGACACACTGGAGGGGGTGGTGCGGACACGGGGTAAGGGAGTGGTACTGAGGGACAGAGACGGGGAGAAAGCTTTCAGGCAGCTTCATTTGCAAGAATTTCCTGGGGCGGGGAGGAGCAGGAGAAGGGCGCTTTCAAAGAGCAGGGAGGCACCCACATTCTCTTTGGATCCTGACATGCACCTTGCAAATTACATAATTACCACACACACACTTCAGCTTCAAACACCGAGGCTCAGAGAGGGGAAGTGACTTGCCTGAGGTCACACAGCCAGCGAATGGGACACCCGGTGCCTGAAGTCACAACAATTGGGTCTTTTTTTTTTTTTTTTTTTGCTGTGGGTGGAAGTGGCGATGCCAAGTTGGGAAAAGTAAAAACTTCCCCTTTTCGCACAATTCCCAGCAGAGTTGGGGGCTCCTGTCTCGTACTTTGCAAAGTTCAGAAAATCCCCTTTCCCTGCCCGTCTCTCAGCATAGCCAGCCCCTTTCCAGGCAGTAGGGGCGAAAAAAATGGGGAGCGGGGAGAGGAGGTGTCGACTCGGACCCCCACAGTTCCTGCCCTGCGGAAGAAGCGGTTAAAGCCTGCGCGGCTGGAACTGACTCAAGGAAGAAATTCTTAAGCATCCCCTAGAGACGCCGAGTGCTCTCCACCAGTTTCTCTAGGGACCCGGAGTCTCCGCGACTGTCCGAGAGCCGGGGTCAGAAAGCCCCGAACGCCTCTGCCCGCTGCGCCCTTCCCGGGGGCCCCCATCCGGTGCGCCCCTTTATGGGCGTCGCGGCAGGAGCGCGCGAGGCCTGGACCACAGCGGCGTTTTTCGGGCCCTGCAGGGGGCGCTGCGGAGGGAGCCGCGCGGGACCCGTCCCCACTCCGCCCTCCTCGGCGGCCTCCCCTTTCCCACCCGCGGGCAGCTCCGGGTCTATAAAAAGAGGCGTCCCGGGCGAGCGCGGAGATTTGGACGCCCCTGCCTGGGAGGTGTACCAGATCTGAGCTCTCCGTCAAGTTTCTTCTCCTCTCTACCCCCCAGTTGGAGATCTGTAAGTATGTGGTCCTGCGGCGGACGAAGTTGAGTCGGGGGTTACAGGATCCTGCAGGGCATCCTATAGGGGCTGGGGAGCCGTGAGGCACATCTGTTGCCATCCTCTTAAGGACCTTTGGGGAGGGGTTGAGGGGGTCACAATTTTCATTTCTCTCTGCCCCGTCATCCTATATTTTCCCCAAACCAGCATCTCCCAAGGTAGCCAATGAGAAGTACCCCATTGCGGGGTACTTATTAAAGATAATGCCTGGGCCCGTCTCCGGTTACTTTAGAATCTTCAGAAAAACTGTACTCTGTGTATATGAGTCCCAGATGATTCTTGTTATGAGGAGACTCTGGGAGATATGCTGCTTTGGAAATATCAAAGATCCAGCTTCCGCTGAAAAGGCATTTCCTATCTCATAGGCAAGCAATGTGTGGCTCCAAGTGGAGATGGAAGCATCAGTTTAAAAAACCATTGGCAGAAGGGGGAGTGTTTTTCCCCAGTCTAGAGCATCAGTCCCCAACCTTTTTGGCATCCCCATGGAAGACAATTTTTGATGGTCAGGGTAGGGGGATGGTTTAAGGATGATTCAATCACATTACATTTATTGCGCACTTTATTTCTATTATTATTACATTAGCTTCACCTCGGAGCATCAGGCATTAGATGCTGGAGGTTGGGGGACCCCTGCGCTAGAGGATGCGCTGCTGATAAGCCTTGATCATGATCCATTTGTTACAGCTTGGTTTTCTTCCAGACACACACACACCTCCTCCCCACCCCCCCAACCAAATTTTTAAAAATCTCATCCAGGTTGACCTCAGGGGCCTCAAATACTCAGATGCCAAAGCCTGCACTTGCTTACAGAGTTTGCAAGTGCATTAGGTAAGGTGGGGCTGGGCTTTCCTGCAGAACACCCATGTTGCTCTCATGTCCCACCAAGTGGGCAAAGTGAGAGAGAGTGGCTGCCACCGGTTGTCTGGTTTCTGTCTGCACTGGGAGCTGATGGGGATTTGGCTGCCTGAGGAAAGGCACCGTTCAAAACCACACTCATCAAGAAGTAAAAGCAAATATTGAGAAACCCCATGAGAGGGAGCATTTAGTACAGTATTAAGAATGAATAGATTAAATTGCAAACTGACCATTATATACAGAGAAGGAGCTTGCAGAAGCTGAGCTGAAAGTCATTAGATAGCAGTGGGTGAAACAGGACATTGAAGACCCATAGAAGTGCAGTTTCCTTGGTGCTTTCCCATTGAGGCAAATTACCATTGATGGAGCGCTTATGCGCCAGGCACTGTAGCAGTGTTTGACTTCATTGACCTCATTTAGTCATTGCAACATTTTAAGGGAGGCATTCTGATGCCAGTTTAGTATACAAGATAACTGAGACTCAGAGAGTTTAAGTAATTTGCCCAATGTCACACAGCTTACAAGTGGTGGATCCCATTCCTGCCAATTCTATACCCCTGACCCCACCAACTTTTTTCTTTACCATGAACAAAAACTTTGTCGGAATCAGGTTTCTGATGGGACCAGATGCGACCAGTAAGGCAAGTGTTTATCATCTCTTTGAAGAAACTATAAACTGACCTTTTGCAAATTTAAAATAAAATGCACTGTTTGTCCCCTGGTGGTATGGTCATCTAGTTGACTAGATTAGATGGGCTGCCATCCCCAGAGTCCAAAAGGTGAACTAGCTGGGCCTTCCTCGAGAAGCTTCTAGGGCTGGTAAACACTGTGTGTTTTATTATCATGTCTGAAATAGACATGTTATTCCGTACAAGGTATTTGTTATGGATTTGTTATCGTTACTTTTCTGTGCGAGGTCTGAGATTGAGGCAAACATGCCCATTTATGGTAGCGTTTTCCACGAGGCCATCCCCAGCCCCCTCGCAAATTAGCCCTGTATTGCAGCTTTGCTGGTCCTGTGTCTGGGGATTTCTCTGCCCTTGTCCTTCCCGTTTGGGAACAAGTTGGGGAGTCTGGAGAGGAAGACATTTGGGAGAAAAGGGGGATTAACTTCTCCTGCTCTCTTTTGTTTTGAAGCTTTATTTTTGGGGTGGGGCAGTGGTCTTCTCCTTTCCTCAGCATATTGAATCCAAACAGGTGAATTTTATGCTGTAGGCACAACCATGTAACTCTAAACTCAGATACACATTAGATTTTTCTGGCAAACCACATCCAATGTTAAATTCACCAGAATCCAAGAACATCACAAGCAAATGTAGAAATCATCCATGTTGTCCTTCCCAAACCTCAGTTTTCCCATCTGTAAAATGGGGCTAATGAGACTATCTAACATCTGTTGAGTGCTTTTGCTGGGACACCATGCCGAATCCATTACAGGCATCTTGTCACTAAGTCTTCACAACAACTCTTTGGAGTGGATGCTGTTATTATTAGTCCTGTTTCACAAATGTGGAGACTGAATAACTTGCTCAAGATAGCTTGACTAGCCAATGAGGAAGACAAGATTTTACAAAACTAGCTCTTTCAAGACTTCAGTGTGCATGGAATTGCCCTGCTGGGAGGATTCAAGAGGATCATGCATACGAAAGATTTAGCATAGTGCTTGGCCCCTGGTGAACTTCCATGGATGGTTATTTATATGTGATCAGAGACCTTAAAGATTTTGCTCAGTGTTGCCCAGAATGTTGCAGAATTTTGGCAGAACCAGGAAACCTATGGTATAATCTTTCCATAAAAGAGAGACTTGCCCTTAAATTTCTTGTCTTGCCATCTCTTTTCATAAACTCAGATCCTTTTTGGGCAAAGGTAGTGATTAGAATCTTCTGCACTAATATATATACATTTCCTCACCTGTGTCAGGAACATGACCAGGGATATCGGCCCAGGTATTTTGTGATTTGTGTAGGATCTCTGTGGTGTCCCTGAAGACCTCACGTGTGAGTGGGAGGAGCCTGTCTGGCTTCCAAGGTGACTCCTTTGATCCCTGGGGTCTTTTCCCTTCACCCTGACCATTAAACGCATTTAACCATGGCCGCACTGTGGGAGAAAGGTTGAGTCTGCAAAAGGCTACGTAGGAATTTGAAGGAACTTTTTGTTTTGCTTTGTTGGAGGATAGTTGACTTTGAAGGAAATTTTGTGAGGGGCCAGATGATAAAGGAAGAAGCTAGCATTGCCCGCTGTTCCTGCGGAGAAAGTCAGGTATCTCTGAACCACATCAGTGATTCGGAGGTGAAAGGGGAATGGTCCTCATCAAAGTCCCTGAGAAAGGGCCGTAGGCTTGCCTCTTGTTCACCCGTACAGGCTTGAACTTCCCCTCTGCTGGTGAAGCAGGCAGCAAATGATACAGAATCTCGGAAGGGTTCTGTATCCCTCAGAGTCTGAGACCACTGGGGGTGGTTATAACCCTTCCCTGGTCTCCAGGTAGAATGCCTCTCCAGGTAGAATTCCTGACCTTCTTTGTCCTTCCCAGCCTCTCCACTCTTCCCCATCTTTAGATATAACCATTGTTAATGTATTCTTGAGCATCTTTCCAAAACTTTTCTACATCAAATCTTCCTTTTTTACACAAATATTGTTAGCTTTGTAAATTAGCTGGTTTTTCACTTTATGGCATATTTTTAACTTTCTATATCAGCATATTGTGGTGTTTTTAACTCACCTGCATAATATTCTATTATATGGAAGTATAGCATCTAATCAAGGAGTCAGGACAAGACTTTGATGCGGGGAAAGATTGAAGGTAAAAGGAGAAGGGGGCAAAAGAGATGAGATGGTTAGATAGCATGACTGACTCGAGGGACATGAATTTGAGCAAACTCCAGGAGACAGTGAAGGACAGGGAAACCTGGCATGCTGCAGTATATGGGGTTGCAAAAAGTTGGACATGACTTAGTGACTGAATAACAAAATAGCCTCTTACTACAACAACCTCTTATTGAAATTTACCAGCTTCACTCCACATATAAACAGGGCTTCAGGGACATCTTTGTGTATCTATCTATATCTAATTATATGAGTTTATCTGCAGGATAAATTCCCAGCAATGCAATTTGCTAAGTTAGCATGCACATTTAAAATGGATAGATATTGCTAAACAGTCCTCTAAAGACACTGTCGATTTAAATTTCTAATGGACACATAGAAGACTACATGTATTTTAAGCTGTGCTAAGCCAGAGTTGCAAGAAACAAGACACAATGGGGCTTTTAGGACCAGAAATGGCCAGTTCTCTCTATCCTCAAAGCATCCTCCATGGGAGCCACCAGACCTCTTGCTGACCAAGTTCTCTTTGTAGGGAGGAAAAATTAATTAGCTTTGATAATTGTAAGAACTTCCTTCTGGAGGTACTTTAAAAACAGTGTTCAAATGAGGTAGGCAGATGTAAAAAAGGGGTGCAGCTGTGGCGAAGCCACATAAGGACAAGTCTGTGCAAGGAAGCCAAGCAAGGATGAGACTTTCTGCTTGGATCAGGTGTCAGATCTGGGTTCAATTCTTGGCTCCAAATTTTACAAGCAAAAGCCTTTACTTTCTGGGACCTCCATAGCCTTATAGGAATAATCAATAATGCCTACCTCATCGAACACTTAGAAAACATAGCACGATGGTATATATAAAATAAATAGTCTAGCTCCATGTCCCATGAATAGAAAGGGGAATAGAGGCTTCCCAGGTGGCGCTAGTGGTAAAGAACCCACCTGCCAATGCAGGAGATGTAAGAGATGCCGGTTTGATCCCTGGGTCGGGAAGAATCCCTGGAAGAGGGCATGGCAACCCACTCCAGTATTCTTGCCTGGAGAATCCCATGGACAGAGGAGCCTGGTGGCTATGGTCCATAGGTCTGCAAAGAGTCAGACACAGCTGAGCAACTTAGCACACATAGCACAGTGATAATAGTGCCTGTTATTAATGACAGGTTAATAGTCCCAGTTGCCCATGGTGACAGTTGCCTGGAGATCTGGGGCATCTGGGGGCCCAGCCCCTCCCCCTGCTTCCCTC